GTCTATCAATAATTTACCTAATAACGACCAATGGATATTGTTTAACTTGAACGTATCAGGTAAATGAACTAATACAGATACCGATGTTTAGTAAAATGATTTTTGTAGGGTTATACAGAATCAATTACGATGAAGATAATTGGAAAATGCTCATCAAAACTCTGCAAAGTGACCTATATAGTACGATAGGTGCGCTAAATCGTGTTCAGCTAATTGAAGATTCAGGCGCTTTGGCGTGGGTAGGAAAGTTACCTTACAGCATCTACTTTGATGTTCTGGATTATCTACGGTATGAAAAGGAATATTTGCCATGGAAATCTGCCCTATCAAACATAGACACTGTTGAAAAACTGATACGAAGAACGTCCGCTTTTGGCGCGTTTAAGGTAAAAAAAAACCAAACGTTGTTATTTATTTAAACGGTCCACCTTTTAAATGTAGGAATTTATGAATGCGCTCATCTCTCCAATCTACAACGATGTAGGTGGTTTGAACAAAAAACCAACAAAGAATTTGTTAGAAAGCACACGGTATCGTTCGATGATAACAAGTTGGGGTTGTAAATTTAGGGTAGGTACTTGCGTACAAGAAGCTCGGGAAGTTTTCAACAAATGGTTAGAAAATCCAAGCAACAATATGTAAATATAAGGTATAATTTACTTACTTACTTTACGTAAGTACCTTAATTGTAGCATACCAAAAGAGTTGCGATCAGTGGTGTATTGTACCGCTGTCAAACATGGCGGTGAAGCTGAATGGAACTTTTTATGGAATCAGTATAAGACTACGAACACGGCAACCGAAAAATCCTTAATACTGAGCACTTTGGGTTGTACCAGGGAGGTTTGGTTGTTGGAAAGGTACATGGATTGGGCGATTGATGATACTTCAGGTATCAGAAAACAAGACGCTTTGCTTACATTTACATCCGTGGCGAAAAACGAAGTGGGTTACTATGTGGCAAAGAATTTCGTGTGGAAAAGAATAGGCGATATACAAAATTAGTAATGTTATAGACGACATAATTAATTTTAAAAAATTATTGTATCTATTTTTCAGTTTGGGAGTTAACAGTCGAAGAGTGTCGTCGCTTATATCTACGCTTGCCTCGCAGATGATTTACGAAGAAGATTATCAGGAAGTAAGGCTACTATACAAAAATGCGACAAAATTAAATTATTTTTTTTGTTTAAGTTGAAAAACTTCACAATTAGAAACAGCAATTATTTGGTTCCAAGCAAACAAGCAATCGAACAATCCTTGGAAAGTGTTAGACTGCAAGTGCAGTGGCATAAATCACACTTCCATTTAATCAAAGAAAAGTTATCAGCTTACGATAAAGTGTAGGAGCGGTACTAAAGTGTCAAGAAAGAATTGTATAAAATTAGTCTGTAGCGACTATAGCGTGATAGTATGTACTTGTTAAATTAAGATAATTAGACCTAAATAAAGAAAAATTAATGAAAAAATCAAAAAAATAAAATCTCGGTTTTTACGTTTCCCAAAGACCCTACCGTTCTTAAAGAACGGGTAAGAAAATATTTTACATCCGGCAGCAAACTAAAACGTGCTGCGACCTCATTGGTCAAAACGGCCAACCGATGAAAGCGTAGCGTTCCTGGCCGCAAACGTTTAAAAGCAGAGCCACGAACTCTGCAAGTGCAACGTAATTCCTGCTTCAACTGCACTTCAAGAAACAAAAAGCTCTCCATTTGCAGAACCAGGTCGCCTTGCCAGCTCGACCTCGCGCCGCACTCCATCAGTCAGAAGACCTGCATCTGGGCTCACCCCAATGACAGAGCTCGCCGTGTGCACCTCGGATACCATTTTGTACATACTATAAATATACATATTCCATAAAACGCAACAGCATTTTATTTGGCGTCATCCGCTAAAGAATGTTTAGAGTTTTAATTCCCAAAGCCTAGGTATTAATGCATAGGGGTGGTTCCTATTTTGTAGATCGCGGAATTTTATCCATTTCCACCTCTAAAATTAATTTGATTACATTTTCACAAGTCCTCGTGTAATGTAAAATAGCTTACGCAGTACACTCATTTTTTCAATACTTATATGATTGCTTTCAAAGGTGGAACTCGATAAACTTCCAAGATTTCCAATATACCTAAGATCCACTCTTATATACATATACTCATATAAATCCAAAAATATACTGCAAAAACTAAATTTTTTACCCCTTTTATTAGCATTGTAACCTATGAGCAATTTTAAATGTGAATTCTGGATGACGTTTTCCCGCCTTCAAAATGCAAGCATTCTATTGGTTTAGAGTTACCAGACAACCTTTCTAATAACACAACCTTGGTGTAAACTAGTGTTTGTTCGCGCCATTTCATTAATTCAAGTGTGGTCCTGTCGTCTGTCGACAACAAGATGAGTTTGATAAGAAGAAGACAATTGCATTCCAGCTGTTCAAAAATATATGACGGGCGCACAACACGTACTATAGGTACATATATGTACATGAAGAGCCGAACTCCGAAGAAGAGAAGGAAGAAAAGATTCTGGTGCATAGGTATAGTATTTGAACAAACAGATAAATCCGAGAATTGGATGTTAGGTAGGTACCTATTACAAGAAATGAAGAATACCTCCCAATCCAGAGGATTACCATAATATTAATGTCACGCCGCACAGCAAAAACAAACAAACCTACTAGACATTTTTGGGTAGGTATTTGAGGCACGCTGAAAACTTATCCAAGATACTTCTCCAATAATACCCAAACACAGAATTGCAGACCTGGCTGAAGAGAAGCGGGGCTAACACTTTACCAGGCGCCTTCAAAGTTTAAAAAAATAATGTACCTTGAAATCAGAAGTCCGTAGCCCAGCGTCATTGATTTGTGAATGAATTTCAGACATGCGCTAAAACGCTGTAACAACTATCAAGTGTGCGAAATCGATAAAAAAAACTTGTCTGAAATTGATTCACAAATCAATGACGCAGGGCCAAGGGACTCCACTGATTTGAAGTGTATACTGGCCCTAGATTAGTAAGGAGAGTAGGTTGCCTCGTAATTCTCAGCCAATAAACGTTCAGTATTAAAATACGCGAATGACATCACCCAGAATCCCATTTTGTCCAGATCATAAAAATTAATTATTAACGCAACAACAACAGAGCAAGTTCAAAAAATGCAAAATGGATCGAAATGGTCCTTTACGTGGATGTGCTGATAAGTTCCTGCATTGCAAGTTTTCAGCGTGCCTCAAATACCTATCCTAAAATGTCTACCCACTCTCCTACTATTCCAAAACTTACGGCGCATCGTTCCGGGAGTGCACGTGAAAATGGCTCTTTTCTAAGACACGTAAAAACAATATAAATAACTATATATCAATGGCGTGCTTATATTTTGCGCTTTACCTTTAACAAACAAGAAGAGATGGAAAATCTAGGAGGCAGATTACATAATTGAAATAAGCCACACTGATAAACAAAAATGTTCATTATTAAGGTTCGTTTTTATGTCGCGACTTTACTGCAATGACACTAGAAAGGTTGCGACATTTTTATTTATACAAACTTTAAAGTTTATTTATTTATTTATTTATTTATTTATTTATTTATACATTTATTTATTTTTCTATTTATTTATTTATTGTCCCTCTTGTTCTGGGCCCTCAAAAGGCATTGTCGTGACCACGTGCCAATTTAGTCCACGCGGGTGTGAGAGACTGAAAGTGAGCTTAAAATATTTGTTTTCGTGTTAAACAAGTGTAAATTGTGCACAACTCTTGTGCAGATAAAGCGCATTCTTTTAACCGAAATAGCTTTTGTTTTGACATCACCAATGGATATATTTCTTGCAGACGTCTCAATCGCCCATTGTGAGTACCCTCTTCTGACAATCCGTTCTTGAGGTATAAGGGAATATACCCGATTACGATAAGAGGTCGAGGAAGAAGGCTATGGTTAGTGGAAATTAATTCCTTTCGTTGAGACCTTTCATTAGAGTACCGTGAAGGATAAAACTAGTTCCACCCCACCTTCCCCTCCCCCCATGTGCCATCTTCAGTTTAATTAAGAAATTAAGTTAATAAATTAAGTGTTTAGTTTTTTTTAATTTCATTTTTTAGTTATTATCACGGAGACTGGATATGTCTCGAATTCATTGATAACATCATTGTATATACAATGGTTGTATATACAGGGTGAAACCTCTCTAATACTTAATCTATTTTACCTCTCGCATGATATGGGCACAGAATGATATACTTACACACAACCGCGCGTATATCTGTAATATGAGTACCTATAATCGTAAGTTTCAGACAAAAAACCTTTTCTATAGGCACCTCTCTGAATTTCTTTTTAGAAATAAGACCAATTTTGGGATTTACTTCTATCGATGTTGTCCTCGCCATAAAATATTGCGATCACACCGTAGAACGGTAGAACACTTTTCGCTAAAATAGACCAACATGACATTTTCGGAAAAAAATCTTCACACTTTTTCTAGCAATCATCTTGAAAACTTTAGTATGCTGCTACATACAATTTTTTGGACCTCGCGGGTAGTAAATTCACAACATAGCGTTAGCAGCCTCAGTAATTTCAAAAGGCTCTTCAGAAGAACCAGCAAATTCCATAAGTCACGCACGTTTTTAACAAAACACGATATGTGCTTATTGGTTGGCATGAAAGCTTAGACAAAGGCACGGGGATTTGTTGCCATGATGCAGCTTCAATACTCCATTAAAGGGTTTTAATGAAAAATTTTTGAAAATTTTGAATTTAAGCTTAATTAAATACTTTCATCACTGGAAAAAAATAGATGTAGTACCTACACCATTGGAGAGAAATGCCATTTTAGCATTTTTACCTTAGTGCTTTGTGACCCTCGGGCAACCGTGGGAAAAATCATCAGTTCCTCTCTATTGATCTGAATGCACCCCTGGATGTAGCGACGGCATACCTACTTCTATGGTTTTGTAGAACGCGTCATTTGTTAGGGAAATTTGTTGACTACTACAGGAAGTTTTAGTGATATGAGTTACCGTTTGATTTTCTTACCTTACCTGTAAAAAAGTTGTAATTTTATTGATGGCTTTTCTATTTCAGTTAAATTTCACGTATTTATTTAAACTTGGTTAAAGTTTTCATCCCATTCGCAAGTTGTAATCCCGAACCGTTTCTCCGAATTACACATGTAAGTTAAACCTTTCATAAATCGCTGGAAAATTTTGGCGTAATGTAAATGTGAAGTATGCCTATTTGAGTTTTAATATTTGCAGGTTTAGTAAAGAAGATGACAGTACTGGAGGACGAGGTGATTTATACTCGCAATAAGTTATCTTTAAAGAAATCGGCGGAGAAACTCATTGAACAGAAGCAAAGGAAACGAAAAAATTCAGAGCCGCACACCAATACTACAAAAAAATTAGCGATTGGAAGAATGTTAAACGGATATCGTTCCAATGATAACCATTATCGCTCTACAGGAGACAACTCCCAAGAACGTCCTGTCGCTACTCTGTCCAATGTGGGTAATACCTGTTTTCTGAACAGCGTATTGTACACATTACGTTTCGCACCTACATTCTTACATAATCTGCATCACCTGATAGGCGATTTAGCTTTAATCAATTCTCGCGTAAATCAAAATAAAGCGAAAAGTTCTTCCCTCGGCCGCAATGTTGGAAGTATTTCGGGACCAAGTTCTAGAAGTACCAGTAGCAAAGATCTTTTATCTTTGGGAAATTTAGACGTTATTCCTAAGTCCAGGGTGCAGATCGTCACCGAGAAACTTCATGAAGTCTTTACAACCATGCATAATTTAGAACTGAAGGAATCGAGGGACTCCTTTCAGCCTTTGGCATTTTTACAAGCGGTGAGAGATGCCAATTACATATTTGAGGGAAACCACCAGCAAGATGCTCACGAGCTACTGGTGTACTTGTTAGATAATATTCGCGAAACGTGCGACTTTCTCACTCAACTTGTCGAAAATCAACCTAATTTATTAAACGACCCCGAGCTGTCACAGTCGACTGTTAGTAATAAGTTTTGGAGCGTTCGGCGATCGTGGAAGAACAAGAAGAAAGACAAAAGTCAAAAGGATTTAATTAACGAAGAGCATAGTGATGCGAGTAGTAATGCAGACGTGGGGGAGGATCGCAGCGTGACCGACGGTAATGCAGAGAAGTTTAAGAAGAAAATTGGGTACAATTTTGTCGCGGAAGATTTTGAAGGCATAACTTTGTTGCGTACCAAGTGTCTCGAATGTGAAGGTGTGACCGAAAGAAGGGAACCTTTCTACGATATCCCCGTTCCGATTATTAGTGAGCAAGACTGTGAAGCAAACCCCAAAGATGTATACAAAAAGGCGTGTGTTACATCGGAAAAGCTGTGTGATTCAAATAAATACTTATGCGACAATTGCGAGAGGTATAATGAGGCCAGTCGTGACGTTTTATTCGAAAGATTGCCTAACATTATGGTTTTGCAATTGAAGAGATTTACTACAACTTCCTCCGGTGTTCAAAAAGTGAATAGTTACTTACCAACCCCTTTAGAACTCGATTGTTTTTGTGAAAGCTGTTGTAAGTTACAGAACAGATTGTTGCCGCACCGCTACAAACTTTGCTGTGTGATAATGCATCTTGGTGCATCAATGGCATCAGGTCACTACATCGCGTATGTCAAAATAACTGATCATTTTAAAGAATACACGGATTGTAGTCGGGATCTTCCCAGAGGAACTTTATCCGCTAGCAGTAGTGAGAAATCGCTTAATTTGTTGAAATTACTAAAACCTCGGGCTTTGAGTAGTTCGATTATTGAAAATAAAAACGGTATAATACCTTCCAAATCTGGTGGTGGGATAGGAGTTTGCAAGAGTATCGATTGCTGCGGTATAAGGTTAAATAAAAATGTTGTTGAAAACGTAGTTAATAGTTACGGTAAAAAACACGCTCAGGAGAGGTGGCAACAATCGACTGCAGAAACACAAGAAGATATGTGGCTCGAATGTGATGATGATAATGTTCGCCCCATTTCCAATAAGGAATTTCAAGAATTACTTGGAGATAAAGCCAGTTCCACATCTACTCCATACTTGTTATTTTATTCCAAGATAACAGATGGCACATTACTCGAATCAACTTAGACGATTGTCATTGGTTAGACAATAAATTCTTCGTTTGCTTATACTTAACAAAATTAAGTAAAGGTAGTGATTTCATGTGATATGAAAAATGTTGATATTCACAAAACTCTTACTTTATTTGGGCAGATGGATTGTTTTGAGTTTATAAAATGAAATCATCTCTTAGTCAGCATTGGGGCAAAAAATCACTTTGATTTTATTTCTCCTCCATTTATATTATGTAATTACACCTAATAGTCCATACTTTATCATGTTAACAATTTATTTTTGACAAATCTTAAGTATTTTAAGATGGTAAATATCAGTAGTTAGTTTTGGTGATGCTGCAGTTTTACAACACATCAATTTATCATCATTAAGTATTTTTCTGTCAGAATAATAATTTATTGATTTACTTTTTTTGTAGTATGAAGGATCTCATAACATTACAGTTGATGTGAATGGAATTTCTACGTAATTGTTTAAGTTAACATGAACTGCTTTACTACAAATTCAAACTTCCAACCACAAGTTCATATAAAATATTTACAGATCATTTAATTTTAAAATTGACAGTAGTACTCGAACATTTTGATGCCCAAAGCAGCATTTTATAAGATTGAATCAACTCATTACCTGATAATCAAAAGTATTTAGTGTTCAATAAATTCGTCATGCAAAGTATCTCCGCTTAAGTTGCAAAATTTTCAAATCAGGTTTTTATTATTGCCCACTGTGTGCTGCGTAAAACCAGTTTTAAAAGTAAGAACCTGATGCAATCAAAAGGAAGTAATGCAATTCGTTTTATGTCTCTTCTTTATAACTATGGACAACCTGCGTACTTCTCTGGATAGTGACTATATCGATTTCCTATACTATATTACTGTACCTTATAA